TGCAGAATGTGTTAAAAGTCAGTCTGGGCCTTTTGAATTATCAAGGTGTTCATCAGAAAGTCCTCATTTGTTCATTTATTGCTTTATTTACAGAGACCAGTTGTCCAGCTGTCCACTCAGATTGAAAACAGAGAAGTTACTACTTTCTGTTATTTGAGCAATACACTATTGCTCAACTATTCCATATCCTGATGACATGCATACATATATACTGTATATATATGTGTGTGTGTATATATATATATATATATATATACACACATATATATATACATACACACACACATATCCCATTAACTCCCGTACAGCTATAGCAATTGAGCAAAACATAATAACCCTTCTAGAAATTTCTGCAGACAAATTAGCTAGTAAAAAGGATGTGTTTTCCTCCTCTGACCTATCTTGATGATCTAACAAAGGCATTATTAATCAGAGTCCCAGATTAAACAAAATGGACAACACAAGAAAACTACAGTTTAAGACTGACTGCATTGCCCTTTCTAGACAGAGGCAAAGATACCCAGGTACAGGGATATTATATCTCCCTTCTAAAACCATAGATAACGAAACACTGAGACCAGCCGAAGAGAAAGCTCTTCTGTGCAGGATGGACAAGGTATTAGTAAGTAGCTGTCTGGGATAAAAGATTTTTCTTAACCTTCTTTTCAAGAATAAGATGCCTCACTCCCGTCTTTCTGCACATCAGAGTCAAGAGCACATTTCTTTGGCTCTAGATTAACTCTCTCAAAGCCAAGAAAAGTATAAAATTGGGCTAAGATATTAGAGTACTTAAGCTCTGAGTCTAAACCTTTCTTCCAGGAAAATACCAGATGATGTACAAGAATTAGCAGGGGAACAAGGTCCTTTCACCTCTAGGTGGCAGAGTCTCATTCAAGCATCAATGGAAACTAAATCTAGATTCAGCACACAGAAGAATAAAGATAGTTTGTTTGCTAGCTTCAGAGAGTGAAACTTTTTTTTTTTGGGCCAGGAGTTAATACAGAAACTGAAAAGAATGGGAGCTAGGGTACACCCTTGCTTAGCCTCCTTTGGGATGGTATTGGAGCAAAAGGGCTTCTGTGTTTTACGTAGCATCATAATTAGACAAAATAGTTGGCAATCAATACTGCTAATTTTTCCCATAGCCTCTATCTGGGGAGTGAATCAAAAGTTACATTTATATTAATAAAGGAGGCATAGAGAATGCACCTAGGGCAGTGGGAATATTTTTCCACCAGGTGATGTAGTGCAATTCAGTGGTCAAATATTGACAGTCCCGCCCTAAACCTCACTTGCTACTCTGCCAACACATCATTTTATATAAGCCAATCAACCATTTTCTTGAGAAGATGCTTTGTTAATGATACTTAAGAAGCTGCTGATTACCTAGCAATGTGTTGAATCAGTCTTGTCCTCTTTCTTATAAGGACTGTAATAAATTTACTTCACTGCTTGGGCATCTGAAAAGAACAGTCACATGAGTAAGTAGAGAAGCCAGTATTAGGACCCACCAATCTGAATCTATCTTTAAGAATTCAGCTGGTATCAGATCCCTTTCCAGTAACTTTACTATTGTTCAGTTGTTAAATAAGGTTACTATTCAGTCTTAGAAGTGGACTCAGCAGGCCAGTCAAGTAAACATTACCTGATAGACTATGTCCAAAAGATATTATTGAAGAAATGTCAGATGTATTACAAATTTTATCTGACAAGATAGAGATGGTATCGAAAATGGATTTACAACTGAAAGGCCAAGGGAATGATTTAGAAAAGGATGTTTCAC